GTCTCATATGTGTAGATACAGAGAGAAGAGCTCCTATTCCTGCTTCTCTAGAGACAGATAGACAGACAGACAGGAAAGGGAAGGGAAGGGAGGGAGGGTATAGATAGATGAAGGAAGTGCAATTACAGAGCCTGTAAGCCCCTAAAGTTGGCAAGCTGGAGACCCAGCAGTGCTTATGGTATAGTTCAAGTTCAAGGCTGGTAGACCTCAGGACCAAGAAGAGCCAAGGTTCTTGTCCAGGTTCAATAGCAAGAAGAAAAATCTATGTCTGATACTCTTACTCCAGGGAGGGTCAGCTTTTGTTCTATTCAGACCTTCACCTGACCAGATGGAACTCACCCATGTTAAGAAGGGTAATCTGCTTTCTCAATCTACTGATTCAAGTATCAATGCCATCCAGTAATACCCTCATGAACACACCTAGAATAATGTTTTAGCAAATATCGGAGTACCACTGGCCCAGTTAAGTTGACATACGCCAGCAACCATGACAAGCCCATCCACTGTGAACTTTGTACCCATATTCATCCCCTTAAATAATATTTAATTTCCACACAAGGACAATAATAATGATCATGCTGCTTAACATGATATAACTATTGTGCTTACAACTGAAAACTCTCTTCTCCAGAAGAGAGGGTAAAATCTTCAAATGATGTTTATTATTCTCCTTTCTAGACTGTAACTTAAATCCAATTGTGTGAAATTAACAATACTTAAATAAAATGATATAAAGTTAATATCTCTTATGTTACATGATAAGACAATGAAAAAAAAGATACTTTCTTAATGTCTAATAATACGTGCACGCACGCAAGCACACACGCACATTTATAACAAATAGGGAGAAAATACCCATAACCACAGAGCTTGTTAACTAGTCCTATGGTCACAACTGGTATCCACAGCTATGTTCTTGTACTGCCCATTTTTCAGGGTGGGCACCCCATCTAGTCATGTTCTTTACTTGGTGGGGTGGGCCAAGTTTTTATACCAGAGGGGGCTAGGCCATTAGTCGTCCTACCTAGATTGGGTAGTTGTCATTTTTCATTGACCTTAATCACAGGGCAATGTTAATAGTGAGAGATGCCCCCAAAGTATCTCCCATACACTAGACGCTTTGTTCCTTGCCTCTACTGTAGAGAACCAGCCCAATTTCCCCCGTAAGAGTCAGGATTATTCTCCCTGGCCAGCACAGTAAACTCTCTTTTTTGCCTGATGATTCAGAAACACAAAGATCTTAAAAGAGCTAGGTGGCATTCTTAATTTCTAGTTCAAAAGACTCATCATTGAGGCTTCTACTAAGGGCAGATATTAGTCAGCTCTTTGTTGCTGTGACAAATTACCTGAGAAAATCAGCTTTGATGAGGCAGATTTATTTTGGTTCACGATTTTGGAGTTTTCAGCCAATAGTCACTTGGCTGCACTGTTCCTGGGCTGGTGGTGAGACAGAACATCATGGCAGGGATGGTACAGAGCAAAACTTTCACTTTATAGGTCCAGGAGGCACACACACACACACACACACACACACACACACACACACAGAGAG